CGTGAATCGGCTTGCTTTCAAAGTGCTTTTTAAAGCGCCCTTTTTTCTCCGCGGTCGTTGTTGTCGCGCTGCTGATGATGTCAGGTACGCGCTTTAATCGGGCGCGCTTTAGTGGACCGCGGTTTTGTCGTGCCACGGTTACTAGGAACCCTGACATTAAGTGCTGTAGCGGCGTGTAAGTTCATTGTTGCTATTCAGCATTTCTCTTCTCCCAAACTGTTGGCAATTATTCAACATTACAATGAGTTGTCCCCCCCCGCCCCGAAAGAATACAGAGGATTCACCAGCTGGGTTTACATATTTTGAAAACGAAGGCTTGTTTAACCGTGGTTTACTGAATAAACTGCAACAAGCTATGTTCCTAAAACATGAATTGGTGTCTTGTCGTGGGGAGCCCTTTGGCTTCCCACCAGGAGCAAAATCCTACATGCTGACATGAGAAAATTGAACAGTGAAATATCTACCCTGTCTCCCTGAAAATAAGACCTCTCCGGATAATAAGCCCAATCGGGCTTTTGAGCGCATGCGCTAAAATAAGTTCTCCCCTGAAAATATTGCAACACAGCAGCACCCAGGAGGTGACCACGCTCGCCGCCTCCTGCACCTCAAAAATAATAAGACCTCCCCGAAAATAAGGCCAAGCACTTTTCTTTTCCACTTAGAAAGGTAAATAATATTTTATATGCTTTCTCAGTGTTAGGCCCCCTTTTAGAAATTAGTCTCCCCCTCCCTCCCCCATGAATACTGAACTGCTTCTTATCCAATGTTCCAACTAACCTCCAAGAATAACAGCTTGTACATAATACTATGAACGTTTGATCTGAAGCCGGCTGCATCAAGTAACTCTAGGATCTCTTCGTCTGATTTTAGTGGAAAAGCTGACTTCAAGGCAAAGCTGTTGCAGGAGAAAGAAAAACATATTAGCTTTGGATATCGGTCTGTAATTCAGGCACAAGATTTTTTTTAAAGGGCTAATATTCCTTATGTTAGCTTGTTCTAAAAGGGGACAGACAACTGTATTCAATGCCTGACACCTTTCTTTCCCCCAAAGTTGAGCAAACCAGCTGTGGAAAATGCTGGCTTTTCCCTACCCTTTGCCCACAGATTTTTATAGATAGATAGATAGATAGATAGATAGATAGATAGATAGATAGATAGATAGATAGATAGATAGATAGATA